AACAAAAAATAAAAAATCACACAAAAACATAACTCCAGAAAAAATGTTTTATTGAAAACAAACATAAAAATACAAAAAACGACGATTAAATACATAAAAAAGTTAAAAACACATAAAAAACAAAAAAATATATCTTTACAATCATTAAAAAACAATTTGTTAAAAATCATAATTTTGTTAATTTTTTCTAAAATGTATTTAATAAATACAATTATAAAGTACAATTTTCAGTTCATATGGTTAAAAAACATTAAAATAAAAAAATACCATTCAAAACAAGTAAAAAATCACTTACCTTATTTCATTGCAAGTTATTTTCTGTTAAAAACAAAGTTTCGTTCCGGATTCAGGGGGTGGAGCCAACAGGCTATAAAAGCCAGCTCCCTCTCTCTGCTCTTCAGATGCACACAGACAGCCGAGCAGAGCAGACCCCCTCTTCATTTCAGCCAGTGTGCCAGGCCTGAAAAAGCCCGTACACGCGAAACGTTGCCCCGGCACACTATAAAAAATTCTGATTAGATTAAAATCAACAATTTTTTTTTCTTTTTTCTAAAAATTATTGGATTTCAATTCTTTTTGTAAATTAGTTCATTGTTCATAATAAAAATTAAAAAATCTAAAAAAAATTAAAAAACACAAAAAATACCAAAAACTAAAAAATTAAAAAATTCCCAAAAACATTACAAAACCCAAAAAGACCCAAAAAACTTTTTTTGCTTTTTACGTATTGTTTCCTGCGACCGCAGCTGAAGAAGGAGTCCTATCGGGCCTTTTTGGCCTGTGGGACTCCGGAGGCAGCCGATGGGTACCGGCAGTCCAAGCGACGTGCGGCTCGGGTGGTCGCCGAGGCAAAAACCCGGGCGTGGGAGGAGTTTGGGGAGGCCATGGAAAAAGACTTCCGTACGGCCTCGAGGCGATTCTGGTCCACCATCCGGCGTCTCAGGGGGGGGAAGCAGTGCCCCACCAACACTGTTTACAGTGGGGGTGGTGTGCTGTTGACCTCAACTCGTGACGTTGTGGGTCGGTGGGCGGAGTACTTCGAGGACCTCCTCAATCCCACTGGCGCGTCCTCCGTTGGAGGGGCAGAGCCTGGGGATCCGGAGTTTGGATCTCTAATCTCCGGGGCTGAAGTCACCGAGGCAGTCAAAAAGCTCCGCGGTGGCAGGGCCCCGGGGGTGGATGAGATCTGGCCGGAGTTCCTTAAGGCTCTGGATGTTGTGGGGCTGCGTTGGCTAACGCGACTCTGCAGCATCGCGTGGACATCAGGGGCAGTCCCGCTGGATTGGCAGACTGGGGTGGTGGTCCCCCTATTTAAAAAGGGGGACCGAAGGGTGTGTTCCAACTATAGGGGGATCACACTCTTAAGCCTCCCTGGGAAGGTCTATTCAGCGGTTCTGGAGAGGAGGGTCCGTCGGATAGTCGAGCCTCGGATCGAGGAGGAGCAGGGTGGTTTTCGTCCTGGCCGTGGAACGCTGGACCAGCTCTATACCCTCAGCGGGGTCCTAGAGGGTGCATGGGAGTTCGCTCAACCAGTCCACATGTGTTTTGTGGACTTGGAGAAGGCGTTCGACCGTGTCCCTCGGGGTATCCTGTGGGGGGTGCTCCGGGAGTATGGGGTACCTGGCCCCTTGTTACAGGCTATTCGGTCCCTGTACGACCGGAGTCAGAGTCTGGTTCGCATTGCCGGTAGTAAGTCGCACTCGTTTCCGGTGGGAGTTGGACTCCGCCAAGGTTGCCCTATGTCTCCGGTCCTGTTCATAACTTTTATGGACAGGATTTCTAGGCGCAGCCGAGGTGTTGAGGGTGTCAGTCTTGGTGGCCTTAGGGTCGCATCTCTGCTTTTTGCAGATGATGTGGTCCTGTTGGCTCCATCAAGTCTGGACCTACAGCTCTCACTGGAGCGGTTTGCAGCCGAGTGCGAAGCGGCTGGGATGAGGATCAGTGCCTCCAAGTCCGAGACCATGGTCTCTCACCGGAAAAGGGTAGAGTGCCTTCTCCGGGTCGGAGCGGACGTCCTTCCCCAAGTGGAGGAGTTCAAGTATCTCGGGGTCTTGTTTGCGAATGGGGGTAGGGAGCGTGAGATCGATAGGCGGATCGGTGCGGCGTCTGCAGTAATGCGGGCGCTGTACCGGTCTGTCGTGATGAAGAGAGAGCTGAGCCTAAAGGCGAAGCTCTCAATTTATCGGTCGATCTACGTTCCCACCCTCGTCTATGGTCACGAGCTTTGGGTAGTGACCGAAAGAACGAGATCGCGGATACAAGCGGCCGAAATGAGTTTCCTCCGCAGGGTGGCTGGGCTCTCCCTTAGAGATAGGGTGAGAAGCTCGGCCATCCGGGAGGGGCTCGGAGTAGAGCCGCTGCTCCTCCACGTGGAGAGGAGCCAGTTGAGGTGGCTTGGGCATCTGATCAGGATGCCTCCTGGTCGCCTCCCTGGGGAGGTGTTCCGGGCTCGTCCCACCGGGAGAAGGCCCAGAGGAAGACCCAGGACCCGCTGGAGGGACTATGTGTCCCGGCTGGCCTGGGAACGCCTCGGGATCCCCCCGGAGGAGCTGGCCGAAGTGGCCGGGGAGAGGGAAGTCTGGATTTCCCTGCTCCGGCTGCTGCCCCCGCGACCCGACCCCGGATAAGCGGAGGAGAATGGATGGATGGATGGACGTATTGTTTCACTTTTGGAAACCCTCCCTAAGTTGTTTGTGTTTTTTTTCAATAAATAAATAAATAATTTCATTTAAAAACATTCACTTTAAAAACTCAGCTCAGGATGGCTGAGGGATGGACGGAGGTCCGTTATGGACGACGCCGCCTCCGCCAAGCCCCAAGGGACTGTCCACCGAGGGGGTCGGCCTGGATGGCCCGCGCACGCGGAGACCTCCCTCTAATTACCCTAACCCTAACCCTAACCCATTAAAATCTAACTTCATACAGCAATAAATTCTAACTTTTATACAGCACCAAAACACATCCATATACAAAACCAAAACCCACACTCTACACAACACTAACCTCAAATACACCAAAAAACAATTTATCCCCTTCCCTCCCCTTCACCCTAACCCTAACCACCAAAAACCATTTAATCACTAAAAGTTAACAATACTAAACACCCATCCCACACACTTCAACACCTACTAAACACACACTTAAACACACGAAAAAATACATCTCCAACCAAAACTAAATAACTCACACTCCCTAAACAAAACCACAAAACAACAACTCAAACACTCTCAACCACTACTCCTACTCAAAACCTACAAAACAAACAACTTAACTAGAGAAGTTGAGAAACCCGTCGAGATCCCGAGCGAGAGTGCGCAACTGGCAACCCAATACCCTTGTGTGAGGGGACCCAGCATAGGTGGACATGTCCACCACCCTTCAAACCCTAACCCTAACCCTGGTGACGACGGAGAGGACTGCTCTCCTAATGGACTTACAATCCTGACTCTCTTTTGCAAGCTCCGCCTGAGGAAGATCTCTCTGATAGAGATCGAAACGTCGCGGATTTTAAGCTTGCAATTTGTATTTATTTTTTTATTTTGTGTAATAAAAGTACTTTTCTAGTCAAAACACAGTTTTGCACGTCTTTTAAACCGTCTTGCATTTTAACCGTATATTCGGCAGTATTTATTTCTTTTATTTAATTTATTACAAACAAAACATTTCCATCACGGCTCTTTTAACGCCACTCACCTGAATGGAATACTTCGAGGAGGAACGGGAACGCCCGTGGACCATGGTGAATTACCGTGGGGGATGGAGGACACAGCAACGGAGAGGCTCCCAAGCCCACTCCACCACCAACTTCCAGGATCCAGCACACCGGAGGCAGCGGGTTGAGAATCGCTCATATGCCCAGGTGGTCGCTGGCACACATCACCCCTCACCCACCTTGCTACGTGGTGGAGGGGCGCACCGAGGAGAACGACGGGACGGGAGCCGCGCCCGCGGCGGGCCGGGACGCTCGCAGCGCCCACAATCTAACACTCGTTTTAATTCACGTGGAAACACAAACTATGAGAGGCATCCGATGATCCAATCGGATGACCCACACTTTCCTACCAAGGTGAGGATTTTAAATGGAATCATTAGAGCCGTGCATCATGCATCTAATGTTGGGGGAAGAGAGGCCCCACCTAACATTAAAAGGATGACTTTTAATCTGTCAAATTTCATAAAACCGGCATCTCCCACCGAACAAACTTACTGGCTATTGAACGGAAATGCCAGATATTGGGAGATGACCACACTCAAAATCCTACAACAACACTATGAGGATATAATGACTCTTTTAATACAACAATTAGCCGAAATGCCGGACTTCAGCTGGACGGACCCCTTCGAGGTGGCTGTAGTCTGGGCCCGAAGGAGACTGGGCCGACGGCTCAGATCAGACACAATCCACAAAGCACAGGAATTTATTGAGAACAATTTAAATCACCAAATGGATACTTTCCAACCGGCAGCCATTTCAGAGACAAGGGATTCCCTCGAGGGGCGGACACACACTGTGACGTCACCGAGAGGGACGGGAATCCCCACCACACAACAACAACATAATAACAGGGATAATAACACATACTTACCTGGATTAACCCACCTTTCTCAGGACCCGCTGGAGGGTCCCTCCACTCTCCTGGATTCACTCCAACCTGCACGGGCTGCGCGGCCCGGGATCGCGAACGCGCTTTCCGGGACCGTGGACGCGCAGCCCCAACGAAAGAAGAGCCGGATCGGAGCTACCTGGATCCCTGCGCCGTCTCCTCCGCCGGTTCTGGATCCGGCCGCTCCGGTCCAGACGGATTTTCTATCCACCAGGGACAGACCAGGAATAACTGGCATGACTTTCAGCGGTGCGGACCCGGTGAATCAGAGTCAGCCCACCTCCAGTCTGATCAGACTCCCTAGAAAGGCTTTACTCTCCGTAAACCTGAAACCTGTAGGGAAAAGGATGGCGTTGGACGACGGCAACTTCTCACAGGATTCGACGGGGACTTACCTCAGCAGCGGGACAGCTCCAGCAGATCCACACACAGCGGCAGCAGGACCCTCGGCGGCAGCAGGACGACCTGTGGAGAGAACAACGCAGCGGTCAGCGGAACGACCAGCAGCGGGGCAGCCAGCAGCGGAGCAGCCAGCAGCAACGCAACCAGCAGCGGAGCAGCCAGCAGAGCGGTCAGCGGAGCTGCCAGCGCAACAGCCAGCAGCAGCGCGGACCTCGCAGCAAACGGAGCAGTGGACGGACGGCGACCTGGGGACCGACCGGACCTCCTACTCTGTGTTTAAGCACATCCGCACGCAGAGGAAGGCAGAGGAGTGGGCCCTCTACGTCCAAAAAAGGCACCTCATTATAGGAGATTCCAACCTGGCCAGAATCCCTCCCTTTAAGGCGCCCGACGTCCAAATTGATTCTTTCCCGGGGGCCACATTTCAACATGTGCCCTCTTTGATGACAAACACCAGGGCCGAGGGGAGAGTTGAAACTGTAATCCTCTCCTTTGGCATCAATTACAGGAATCGAAAATACATATCACCAATAAGAAAACAATTAGAAGAGGCTATGAGCTCAACCCGCAGTAAATTCCCTCTGGCAAAAATATACATCCCGGAGCTAAATTTTTCACCTCTCATCCCTCGAATAGACAAAAATACATATACAGCTATAAATAGTTTTATCCTTAATTATTATGATTTCATCCCGGCCTTACCAACCGCGGATTATACAACTAAAATAGATAAACATCACTGGACCCATACTACGGCCCAGCTGATGCTCCAACACTGGCTAAAACTATTAAAATAGAGGTCCCCATGAGCCTTAACAGACAGGAGGGGTTTAAAAATGTCCTGGTTTTAGCTGTTAAAAACAAATTAACCCATGCACAGCTCTCCATCTTAAACAAAGGACTTAATTTCATTCCAACTCAGGACTGCAATAAAAACATCAAACAACAACTAAGAATAGACCTCCAACAATACCATCGCAGACTGAAATTAATCTGGAACTTTAGAAATAAAACAGAAAAACCCAGAGAACCCTTCCATGGCACATCCACCTGGTTTCCCCCTGAAGGGACCTTACCTCCTTTTTTAACAGACAACATTTCTTCTGAACTTACCTTCCTTGACAGAGACTTCCAGGTGAGACCCATCAACCCAAACATCACTCCGGAAGAGGCCACAGCATTACAGGAACTCTCCAAAAACCCGGACCTCATCATTAAACCTGCGGACAAGGGCAGCCTCACGGTGGTGATGGACCGTGAGCAGTACACGATGGAAGGTAATAGGCAACT